GCATCGCCTCGTCTTGGGCATGGTCCAGTGGTGTGTCCATTGCGGATATTTGTGAGGCGGCCGGCTGGGCCTCGCCGTCCACATTCGCAAGGTTTTATAACCTGGAAGTCCCGGCCTTGCAGGCCAGGGTCCTTTCCGCTTGAAGAGACATGCGCTGCGTAAACAGATCTGGCAAAGAGCCCTTGGCCGTATCACTCTCAAGCTCTCTGGCATTAGTTCACCTGTTAGCTCTCGACCCCGGGGTGTCGAAGTTACAGGAGTACTCTGGAACGATAAACCAGGCCGGGTGTGACCTCAGGAAGCTCAGCCCGTCTTAGCCTTGGGTTGTTGTTAACTTCTCTATGGGCATTGGTTGCTTATGGAAGTTTGATACTTTTAGTCGTTTCACTACATTAGCACGGCGTGATTGTACTGTGTTCCTATATGCGTCTAGCAAGATGCAGTACGAGTGTAGTATCGAAGGCTTCAGTTCAGGAGAAAAAAGGCTTTTTCCCATATGCGTCTAGCAAGACGCAGTACACGTTCCCGTATCTCAGGGAACCGAGGTTACGTTAGTAACCGAGTACGTTATCTTTCCCTCACAACTGAAAACACACTTTTTTGGTGACTGTTGATTTCGTGGTCTAAAACACAAAATGACAAATCCTTCTGGAGTCCTGTGCAGTGCTGCAGACGACGTCTGTAACCCGAGTGAAGCATGTTGATGGGCTGCTCTTGTGCCTTGTCCAAATACCTGGTCTTTGCACTTACCCACTTGACTACTTATATGACGTATTTCCTGTATTTGGTCCAAGTGTTCAAGTGAGCATGAAGACCACAAGTGTGTGTAGAACTTTTCATTACCTGACGGGACACACTTATAGTGTTGTAAAAATGCAAGTGTTTTTTCAGAGCTTTATTTTTATTTTCGATACTTTGCATTTTAAAATCAACTTCTAAATGTCTGTTTAGTAGTCCCTATAACAGATGACACAATTTAATTTTGTGGTGCTTACTCCACTTACTCCAAAACTACTCATTTGCACCAATAATGCGTGCAACTCTTTGTTTTACTACCAAATTATATGTAGTATTAATATTTAACATACATTGGAAAGGTTTTCATGACTTCTTGCAAGATCTCGGCAAAAAGTCTCACGATTTATTTCCAGAACATGATGCATGATGGGATACACTAAGCCTTCAGTACTGCTCCGGAGCGGATTTAGTGTGCGTTAAGGGTACTGCACTTTTGGACAAGGCATTGCTCTCGCTGTGGTTGATGCACGTGCTCTTCCAGGAGAAGTGCCCAGACAAGGATTTCCGCCCTTCATGACGTCATACGAACTCTGAAGGAGTGTTTGGCACAGAAATACTTCGTCATACGTCCAACTCGTTTTTTGGAACTTTGGCCATGTTTAGCATTAGAACTCTTTAACAGGGTAAATAAGTCAGAATGCATGAAATAGCATAAGTACACAGTCTTGCTTTTGTCTTTTTGTCTGAAAAACGTTTTGCTTCACATCAAAGTTTGTACAGCTGTGATTCGCCTCGTGGCTGGTTGGTTTGGTTAAAGGCTTCTAGCGCTTTAACGAAGACTGTTTTTATATCTGGTGTTTCTCCATAGGTCCTGAAGAAGCCCCCATCAGACCGGCTGGAAGACGCATCGTTGTGCCCCCCGGTGGCCGCTCCAATATCATCTCCCTCAGTTAAATATAAAGAGCATGTAAGAGAGAGGCCAGGATCAAATCAGCAGTGTAGAAGTAAGGTGATTAGTCAGGAAACGAAACAAAAGAAGCGTAAAACACTGAACTCATGCCTTACCCTCCATGATTTCCTCCTGATGAGTGACTGAAGATCAGTAGTCCACCTCTGAGAAAGCAAAGCATTTAGTGTAGTGTTACGTTCATTTGTGTGTTTAGATAAACTCAATTAGAAGACATTAGAATTACCGTAAAAACAACTTTCGTTTGGATATTCTGCGATGTTTATGAAAGGAAACAGTTGAATTTTCCAGGCGTTTGCGTTCGGTAAGGAAGGACTACTGTCGTGTGTTTCATAGAGCTTCGTCTGTATTCCCTCATAAGCTTTATTTGCGTACATCAGCTGTGATTATGATAGTTAATGTTACTTTGTAAATGAAGTTGAAGTGTCGAGCATTTTTTTTTTAAGTATAATAAAGCTGAATGTTAAGGAAAAACATGCAATGATATACAAGTGCAGAATATTACAGGACATTTACATACATTCACATACTGTACTGCTTTCATTATCCGTCTCACTGAAGATACGAAAAACAATATGCATCCGTCATGTGAAGGAATAGCTGAACTTCAGTCGAACACAATGAACCTCGAAAAAGGAAAAATAAACAACTTCTTGCCAAAATTAATGATGAAAACAAAACAAAGACTGCAGGAGAAAGATATTCACCTTTTGCATTTTAGTTCAAGCTCAAATTATTAAAGGATGATTAACAAAGTATTGGAATAAGTTTCTGATATCTAAATCTTTCATGCGACTTTGGTCTGGTTGAGGAGGAAAGCTCTTGGTTAATGGAAAGAGACAGTTCAACACACTGATGCCCCAAATAACAATGGTATAAAGAGATTTACCGATTGATGTGGAATAGGTTGTTTATTATATTTATGTAGGTTTGATTATATTTCCTTTCTTTTTTTAACATCTGAGTCAAAAAAGCAGGTGAAAATGAACGTGTGATGTGCAAAATTTGTTCCTCAATAAACTCAAGTTACAACTGACTGCCTGTGAATGATTTGCTCTGTATATTTATCACCTCACGGTACAAGGAAATCAGAACTACTAAAACATACACAGACATAAAATTAACGTCTGCTAATCACTTGAGGAAATTAAATGACATAATTGTTACAAATACATGGGAAGTATGACCAATGACGATGTACAGCAGAGGCTGGCTGTAAACATCACATGTGCATCTGAAATGTTCATTACATGTCCTCGTTAGGGAAAATTCTCTTGAAATTATTCTCTTTAAAAGCGACTGCATGAGGGCGTTTTCATGCAGCTCTCAAACCCCCCAAATAAATGAGTCACATTTTGCATTTGTACAATAATACAGAATTTTGGAAAACAATTCTAATGGCAATCAAGTGCAATTAGCTGTATATTCCATAATAACAACAACAATAAAAATAATATATAAAGCAGGTGATATTCAATTGTTTAAATTTTGTTTAACTTGATGTTTTATATATAACATCCTCCTAAATATTAAAAGACACTCTAAATTAGACGATAATAACAATAACAACATACAAACAGCAATAGATGGGTTTCAATCCTATGGCTTAAACTTGATATTTAAAAAATATATATATTTCTCAGAATTATTGTTGCTGTTCAACAGCATCGTGGGTAGATTGTCTGTAATATTTAATATTCACCCGACCACTAGATGGCGATATTGATTCATTGTTGTATTATTTCCACCAAACTTAAAAAAAATAACTTGCACTGTAAGAAAAAGGTATGGGAAAGGTACTGGTAAATTTCTGCCAGGATATTATGATTTAAGTTTATGAACATTTTCTTTAGCTCTAAAACACAAAGCAATGTGTAACGTAAAACACCTGTGAAAATAAATGAAAAAAAAAACTTCATATTAACACAGTATATTAGGCCCTATGTGTATACAGACCTCAGATGAAAATGAACTGTATTTATGTTATAAATCTATAATTTCTATTATAAATGAGCCAGCTTTGTGTGAATATTCCTAGGCTATGCAAACCTTCAAACAAGTCAGACTTGTCAGATGATGCTATTAAATTATTTTATTATTATTTGATCTGCACAGTGTGGTCAATATCTTAATTCAGCAGCACAATCCAGCAATGAATCTCCAAAAATGCTTAAGAACCAGAAAGGCCAAATAATGCGCTCAGTGGCATGAATGACAGAATTCTGCAGCTCCATAAGGTTCACATTTACATCATTTGAATGAATCACATAATGAGGTGAAATGAATATCTTTGCATTCTGTTCTCTGCATTTGTGTGTTAACAAGAGCAGCTTTATAAATCATGGCGAACGGCTGGAGTCTGATCGCTCGCTGAATCAGACAACAGTAAACCTTCACGTGCCTCCAGGGGAATCGTGGAAATTAGAGCAATCCATTAAACTAGTAAGGCACACATTTCACAGTCGGGTGCAGAGAGCATCATCATTCAGTTATTTCTTTATGCATGTGATTGTGTAGTCAGCCGGTCACTAAACCAGCGTACGCTGTCAGTTAATTCAGAGCGTGAGGTTCACACCAGGTTAATGCTTCCATCCAGAATCCGTGATGTTCCAGTCTCCCAGTATGGATTTTCTCATGCATTTGCTGGAGTCCATGGCTGCATCCGCCGTCAGCTTCGAGTGAAGGAGGAACACTGTGGCAGGTCCGGATGTTAACTTGATAAACAATGCTGTACGTTGTTGTTCTGTCCGTCTTGAATGGCTTTGTTCGTCTCTTCTGCACTGAGGTTGTTGGTCTCAGCGTCTGCTTTGGTTTTCCTCAACCTCCAAAACAGAGAAAGGACAACAAATCTAGTCATGCAAAAGTTTCACAGTGTTAAAAAATGTGCAGTTGTTACCTCAAGGCAAGGTTGTTGCAGTTAAGGGATTAGTTCTCTTCCAGAATAACAATTTCCTGATAATTAAAAAAACTGAAATTAAAATTAATACAAATATATAGACAAAAATTCTAATAAAAAAATCACAGAAACACAACAAAATTACTGAACGTTTACCTAAAATTTAAATAAAACAAAAATAAAAACTAATTTATATATACAGTATATATATATATATATATATATATATATATATATATACACACATACATATATATATACATTATTTTCGGTTTGGTTCAAATGCTCACCATATTCAAGTTCTTTTATTATCTTTCTTTATTCTCTTTAAATTCTATGTTTAATTCATTTAAATAAAATGACAGCATCGGCCTCCCAAACCCAAACTTGGAGTGGCAATATATTAAAATAAAGCATAAATTTAAAATTTAAAATAAAGTATGTCTTAAAATAAATTATAAATAAATACAAAGTTCTGTCATGAAACTCTAGATGGCGCAGGCTGATAAGTCCTTTATCTGTTAGTAATCACATCATTATCTACACGGCGCAGCTGATTGGTCTGTGTTGCATCAGCAGCCAATGAGGTTGCTGTTCAACATTCAAATACTTGACCAGTGTTTGTAGCGCGCTTTCAGAAAGCATCTGAAATCAACATCTAAGATAAGTGAATGCTCTTTTACTCCATATCGCTGTGCATATTGCTTGGTCTGCCATATTAATTCCCAAATGAGCAATCATGAACAAGTTTTAAATTTTGCATTTGATGCAAAAGTGAATGACTAAACATAAGCAGCAGCATTTCTACGACTGTGTTTATGCAGCTGCAGCAATAAGCGGCTTATTGCATGTGATTGTTGTGAGGTACGCCGACTGAGCTACGGATATGAGAACAGGTTCATCTGAAATAATCATTCGCACTCAATACATTTTTAACCTCAATGGCGCATTCATTTATTTTATAAGCATGAAAATAATTCCATAATGCCAGGCCTTTAAAGAACTGAAAATATTTTAGTGTTCACACTTTACAACCAGTGAAATTACATGAGGTTTTGCAGTCAGGATAAAGTGTTTGTTCTCAAATTTCTGACAAATAGAATATTTCAGAGCTTGCCACAACTATTATAAATTCATATTCATTTTAGAAATTGACATGCATTTTCCATGTCTGGGAATCATACTTTTAAAATTCCCTCAGTTGCCAGATTTCCCAAGACCATGACCGCTGACATTTATTAAATTAAAGAAATAATTTAAAATAAGTCTTGATGTTTAACCTTTTTATTTTGTTTTAAATCTTAGTTTGTCTTATAGACTTTCCATCTTTAAAAGGCACTTTTCTGACAAATAGAATATTTCAGAGCTTGCCACAACTATTATAAATTCATATTAATTTTAGAAATTGACATGCATTTTCCATGTCTGGGAATCCTACTTTTAAAATTCCCTCAGTTGCCAGATTTCCCAAGACCATGACCGCTGACATTTTTTTAATTACAGAAATAATTTAAAATAAGTAATCTGTCTTGATGTTTAACCTTTTTATTTTGTTTTAAATCTTAGTTTGTCTTATAGACTTTCCATCTTTAAAAGGCACTCTTACATATGAAAGCTAAATGGACTAAAAGCCACTGAAGTGTGAATTTACGGGGCATGTTCATAGTCTTCTGAATTTTGTGTTGTTTTGTCGGGTCAGTGCAGGTCAGAGAAGTGTTATCAGTTTGACTGAAGCTTCCAGACGATGAGTTTGCCCTGCTGCACTAGCTGTCTTGCAGATTTGTCGCTGACTACAGGTGCAACAACAGCAGGCTGTCAGAAAACCAGACAGGAGCAGGAGCAATCGCAATGACGACACTTCATGACGATCAAGCAACCTGAAGTCAGTCATGCATCCTGCAGAGCTTTCTCTTCCGTCAGGAGGTCTGAAGTCACATATTTCATGAAAAATTTGTTCACAGACCAATATACGAGGTATGTAAGCATTCAGTGATTTCATTTGACATTTTTTACATTCAGCTCTGGTCACTGGAGGGACAAGCTGCACCTTTGCTTTACTCTACACTGTTAGAAAAGAAAAAAAAAAAACTATTTTCCCAGTGTATAGAATGGTACTTTTATGGGCAAGAAAAATGATTTATTGTCAAATTAGAATGACACCTTTTGTATTTTATCAGCACACTTCCAAGGGAGCACAGAATGGCTTAAATCAATTAAAATAATACAAAACAAGTTTTAAAATAAGCTAAATATGTAAAAAATCAAGACCTATTTCTTATTTTTATTTATTCCTTTAACAACTGTCGTTTTTATTTTAGAAACAGGGTTCCCATGATATTGGCAAACCTACTGTAGAAATGAAGAAATTTTTAAAGTATGATTTCCAGACAGAAAACTGATGAAATGAATATGAATTTATTCAAATTTTGTCAAGCGCTCTAAAATATTTTATTGGTCAGAAATTGCTATTTGTGAATTTCCTGTTTAATACTGTGTAGCTGCTTCGAAACTATCTGTATTGTGTAAAGCGTTATAAAATAAGTGACTTGATTTAACTTGAATTGAATAAGAAGCATAAGATTCTGTTACTCATTTTTATATCAAATTGCACAGGTAATACAAAAAAACCAACATCATATGCAAACCTGCAATAATTAAGAAGTAAAACTGAGGCCGCAATTTCATTATTTAGCAATTACCTGGACCTAACATGACCCTGAAAACAAAACTATGATTGGTCATCCAGATCTTTATCTAAGTGAATTGTTCCTGGTCAAAATAAGCTACAATGTGGACCAGATTTAAGCTGAGAGTTAAATGTCTGTCTAGAGACTGGCGTGAATTGAGCATTAGAGGGCCATAAATGTCTCCAATATAACACAAAATGTGTACTGCAAAGCAATACGACAAGAGCTGTAAGTGCTGCCTGTGTAAATGTGTGCAGTCATGACTTTGAGGCGTCAGCAGGTGTCGAGTGTTTAGTGCTTACTCCAGAAAACCAGCCACGCAACTCCACCAGCGCAGGGATTTCCTCGAGTAAGCGTGACTGATGCTTAGCATGCTACAATCCAGCAGAGGCCTCCTCTACACTCCATCCAATAAAAGCTCTTTGAAATTCAGCCACAAGCTGCTGAACACAGAATGTCATGTTCCACAAAAGAAAGAAAGACTTACAGGTTCTTTTAGAATGAGGATGAGCAGATAATTTTAAGAATTGAGCTTTGACATTAGTTTTACAGAACCAGTGTTGGGGGTAACAGCACAAGTAATGCGAGTTATGTAATCAGATTACTTTTTTTAAAGTAATGCATTGCTTTTCAATTTACATGCAAATATCTGAGTTACATTTTCAAATATGTAATGCCAGTTACATTGTTTTCCATGTATTGACTGGCAGCTCTCCTCCTGTCCTCATGATGAAAGAAATCAGGAGTGTGTTCAGAAGCGTTGTGTGAACATGATGCTACTGTAGTTCTAGATAAATGAGAACAGGCGTTTACTCATCTCACTCACACAAAAACAGATTCAGTATTCCTCGAAATCAGTAAAAACTGTGAAATGCAAACTCAGAATATGACGCAAACCTGCAATAATTACATTACATTTAGATTTAGACATTTAGCAGACGCTTTTATCCAAAGCGACTTACAAATGAGGACAATGGAAGCAAACTAAATCAACAAAAGAGCAATGATATGCAAGTGCTATAACAAATCTCAGTTAGCTTAACGCAGTACAAGTAGCAAGTTTTTTTTTTAAATAAATAAAAAGAAAACAGAATAGAAAAAGATAGAGCAAGCTAGTGTTAGAGGCCTTTTTTGCTTTTGTTAATTGTATAATAAATAAAAAGAAAACAAATAGATAGAATACAAAAAGATTAAAGAAGCAAGTGGTTTTTTTTTTTTAAAGAAAACTAGCAGTTAGTAAATAAATAGAGTGCAAGTCTAAAAGGGGCGTTTTTAAATTTTTTTATAAAGAATAACTGGCGGCTGGTCAGGGGAGGCAGGGGAGGCACAGCTTCCCCATAATCCGGTGCTGAAAATGGGAGGAGGACGATTTAATGCTAATAAAATTCACAATTAATTTCAGTTAATGTCTCAGAATGTGTATTTTTTGTTTGTAATTTCACAGTTGTAATATCATAACGTGAAAGCGCCGCTTTTCTATCGCGAATGTGCCGAATCTGCTGATGTAATTACAACCGCTAGGTGATAGAGAAGGGTGTTAATTTTGTTATGATAGTATGTCCTTTTAGTAGTGGAGACATTAGCGGAGAAGGAAGAGAGGAGTGACTGATACACATTAAGATGATTTTTTTATTTGCGCCATACTCTTTCAGCAGCCCTGAGCTTAGAACGATGCTCACGGAGAACATCAGACAGCCAAGGGGCAGAAGAGGTGATACGGGCTGGCCTGGAAGACAAGGGGCAGACAGTGTCTAAACAAGATGTAAGAGTGGAGCAGAAAGTATCAGTAGCACTGTTAGCATCAAGAAATGAAAACTGTTTAGGGGGAGGAAGCGAAGATGAAACCATAGCAGATAGGGTGAGAGTGAGAGTGAGAGTGAGCGTAGGTTACGTCGAAAGATGACATGTGGAGGGGTATGTGTTGTGTCAGGAACCATGTTGAGGTTAAGAGTGAGGAGGAAGTGATCCGAGGTGTGCAGTGGAGTAACCAGTACATGATCAGTGGAGCAGTGTCGTGTGTAAATAAGGTCCAGTTGGTTGCCTGATTTGTGAGTAGCAGTAGTTAACACTCTTGAGATCAAAAGAGGCAAGCAAAGTGTGGAAGTCTGCAGCCTGAGGTTTATCTAGGTGGATGTTGAAGTCTCCAAGCATAACTAGGGGAGTACCATCCTAAGGAAAGGTTGAGAACAGCACATCTAATTCATCCAATTTATTATTCATCCAATTTTTTACATAATTACATATGTTAAATAACACAAATATCCTTTATGTATTTAATCTTTGCTGCTGACCTTCGATGATCCAATTCAACCATACTAATAAGCAAAAATGACTTTAGA